ATGATTCCACAGTCGACGTCAAGAAATTCCCGAAATACAACCGGAACGGGATCGAATTTTTCCGTCTATTTTTCCACCGTCCGAGTAATAAAGCCTGGGTTGTACCAGCAATACACGTAACGCCAGACCGTAATGTAATACAGGAACAAAGCTGCAAGGAGAAATATCGAGTGACTACCCCGGAGGGGGAATCTATATCAAACTTCTCGGTCGCTGCGATGCTCTCTGGTGCACCCCGCGTTGCCTTCCCCGTGTGTGCGTGTGTGTGAACGTCGTGGGCTTTCCTTTTCGCCGTCTGAAACCGAACGGGACCCGTATACACCGTAAGGGAGTGGGTAGGGGAGACGTCGAAGAGTTCTTTCTTCCGTGGAAAACTGGAACGCCGTCGTCGAATTCATTTGCCACGTCGTGTTCCACTCGAATAACGCGATTAACAAATCGCCAGGTTTCTAATTATCCGTGAGTCCTGCCTATCCTCCGATCGCTAAATTTTCTTTGGGATCGAAACAATCCAACACAAAAGGAACCATCGATTTTGTCCAAACTAGTCCTGTACCCCCTTAACACTTTCATGTTGGATATCGTAGTAGTACGTATATTCGAAAGCAAAAGCTGAGAACGGTTGACGTAGTAATACGTCTTTCTTAAATAAGAACTAGAATAATAAAAATAGAAAAAAATCGCTTTTCCTTAATGTAAAGTTTAACAAATAAAAGTTAGGTAGTACTTTCTATACATTTTTAGAACACCTGAAATCGTATATATTTGCAAACACGAAAACTCTTGTACCAGTAAAGTGTTAATGGATAGCCGATACAAAAACCGTGGCATCCCGGAAACGGTCCGCGTCAGATCGCCGGCCAGCCAGGTCACCTTGTTCATTCGGATGGTTGTTTCTTGCCAACTTCGGCTGAAATCTGCGACGGATGATGGAAGGAACACGGAGAACTACATGGCTGCTTTCTCCGTCTCGATAGTCGTAACCGTTGATAAACGGTTTCGATACAGCGAAACGGCGGGTGACGAATAAACGTGATATCGCCGCGGCTAATCGGCGAATGGACGCGCGTAAACACGCCGTGGGAAGGAACGGTTCTCGTTTCTATTCAGCGGGAAATCGGATTATACATACCCTATATTCTTCGGTGAAATATGCCTGAGAGAATTCGTCGACGGTGCGCTTCCGGGTCTATGGAGGTGTAGGATGATTTTAGAAAAGGATTGATCGTTCGAAGAGCATACATTCGTAGCACCGTAAGAAAAGTCGGGAAGATGCAATTTTTCAGGGGATTGATAAGAAACTCATTCGTGACGTAGCATATAGATTCTTTTTTATTATAATAAAATACTAGGGCTTTGAAGGTCGATAGATGTAGCATGACACGAGGCACAGAAATAGGAACTTTATGTTACACACCAACCAACGTTATTAGTAAGCAACCAAATTCAAGTACATGAACACACTGGCCAAAAGTATGGAACTAGATATGGCAATTAAAGAATGAGGATAATCTTATTGTACAAAAAATTGATAAACGTTATGTGCTAAAACTGATTGAAAATACTTTGTAAATTCCGTCACTTTTATTATATTATTAGAAAATATATTATTATATTTAAAAAAAAGCCCATATCCAATTGGATACTGGACTCAATGTTCCGCCCTAGCATCGCAAATTCCATCAAAACTGTATTCCCACAAACTTTCACTCTCGAGACTAGATCCGTCGCAACTAGTCAATAATTTGAATTAGGGACTTCTACCGAAACGTAAAACACCAGAATTATACCGGTATTTTCGGTTGAACCTTCGCCCTATATAACCCTATACAAGCCCTACCCTTATAGAAATCGAAAAAATACGGTATTATATCGGTTTCGGTATAGCTTTAATGACATAATACCGGTATCAAAATCATACCGGTTTAACTCCCTGATTCGAATTGCTCTCAGGTTTACATCTACCAAACAACAAAACTCAAAAATCAATATAACAAAACAACCGAATTCCAACGAACATTCTCCAAAAAATATCCACAGAAACCTACAAATAATCAATGAAACTCCATAAAAAATCAAAGCAACACGAGCGAACCGTGTTTAATAACTCACACAAGGATCACCCAGGAGAGGAATGTTAGAAGGAAAACGAGATTCACCGTAGCCCAGAAACGCGTTACCAGAGCCAGACAATAATAAGCTTCGGTGACGTGATGGTGGCCGGGAGAGAGAGCAGCCAACGGCTCCGCACAATTCGTAGCACTGCTAGAGCTCTGGATTCGCGTAAGGGGTGGGGGAGGAGGCTTGGGGGTGGTCCAGCCTGGATTCACAGGGACCTCGTATAGTTGTGGTCAGCAGCCGTGACGGCGCGTCTTTGTGTGTGTCGCGAGAACGTGCCTAGTAGTAGTGTTCATGGTGCTTTTGCCATGGGTCAGGCTACCATGATTCCAACCCGAATGTCCCCCTGACTACCGGCCGCGCCGCGGGGGATGCGACCATAAACTCGAGAGCGAATTGATTTGCGACCGGAAAGCGCGTATCGTTTCTAGTAATGATCGCGGGATGCCCCCTCATTGTCTTTGCCTCGGAGATCGGGCAACAGGATAACCGTGCAGGGTCACGACGGAAGGAGAGAAAAAAAAGAACGAAGGAACCGTTCACGCGTCGCGGACCAACTCGCCCTATCATCGACAATGAGACCTTCTGATCGGAATGGCCGGATCATCCTGGTAATTAGCACGCAATTGTTTCGGTCGGCGTTCGCTCGGGCAAGCTCGAGAATCGTTTGCTTGATGGGGCTTGTGTGAAAGATTGCGGAAGCTTTCGTATTTCTTGTTAACACGTTCCGCGCCACATGTACCACCGGTGGTACACGCGGCCTGAATGGAAAGTTTAACGTGTACCATCGGTGCTACATGTGGCACGGAACGTGTTAATGTCGAACTGTAATTTAAAACAAAACCAACAGCCTCTATTAACAAAAGACACACATCTTCGGTAATTTATGACTTGAAAAAGGAAATACCGAGTGTCTGGCTACGTACGGCCTTTTTCACTGTGGCATGGAACGTGTTAATTGGTAGTTAGTATAGGTGGGGACTATGATCCAACGGGACGTGTCAGTAAGAATGACTTAAACAAATCGCTGGTAACTGTCTCTGTACCTGTCTCTTCTAAACCATCATCTCCCTTTGTTTATAATTAATGATTCGACTCGTTGAATGAGGAATAGTTGTTTATTCTGGATTGGAGCGTTTAATCATCTGGATTATAACATTGTTTGAGAAAAGAGTTGCGCTTAATATCCTATCTTCTGAGCAACGTACTTTAACTACTTTGATTGTCTAAAATCTGCGCTATTATCTATAATCAGTCAGTTCCAATCCGACTAGTCATTTAGCTTGGAAAGTAAAGGAAGTAGTGAAGACAGAACCAGCAAGTTTTGGTGCATGGATAACCATAGACGATCCTAACAGAGATTTGAAACTAATTCCACAATGACACAGCTTGCACCCGAAAGCCTCAACAGTAAAAACCGACTAGACCATCTTTATTAATATTTTCTAAATTCTGTGTACTGGCAGGAGTACTACTCTTACGTAAAAACGTCGTAACCCACACTCGAGGATAGTTAAACAATCGAGACCATTGGCCGAACGATCCAAACGATTTCATTATCCAGTAGAATAGGCCGTTCCATGTCGGGCACAGAAGAAGTCTAAATCTTCGCCACTCTGATCTGCATTAACGCGAGACCCGGTCGCGAGGAAGTTGATTGACTGGGCAAAAGGAAACATACTGGAGGGTCGAATGGATCGCGTGGCCCGTCACAGGGCATGGCGCGACCCGGTTCTGTTGTTGCCAGAGGGGTGTGGGGTTTAGAAACAGCGGCGATCATCGAATCATCGGCGCACTGGCACGTACACGGGGACATATGTCGCGGTCCAGGACCCTCCATTACGATATTAGATCGAACTTATCGAGTTAGGCGGGTTTAATGCGCGAAAATAAAGCTTGCTAGCCGGGAGAAAATGAGACAATAATGCCTTCTGCGCCGGGGGAACATCGAGTGATGTGAAACACGTTGCTTCCATTATTAGCAAATGCACTACTCCGGTGTAATTATCGGGATCTAGGAGCGCTGTGAGGTTCTCCGACATCGGGTAGTTCGGGACACCGATTGCAATTTCAGTTAAATGGGATATTCTTGACGATGAACTTTTAGAGACATGCCTGATTTGGACAGAAGCTATTTATGTAAGCATATATTTTACTTAAATGGAAAATAAACAGATATTTGTTCGTTTCTTAAGGATCTGTTAAGCACAGAATGGAATGGAAATTTCGTTTAACATTATTAACCCTGCTACGGTCTTCGAATCTGTTTCGTCCCAATCACGGTTTCGTCTCTTTAACCCCGCTATTCTCCTCGCTTATTCTTCACGTTTGCATCGCTTCGATTAAAATTATTTCAAACTTTGAAGTAAACGATACAGACAAAAAATGAAATTTCTATTCGACGCTACGAACGAAACGCTTCGAATAGAAAAAGCATCTTTATTCATCGGATAGTTGTAATCAAATAAATCTATTTCTTCGACGCTCATCGAACAAAGATACTTTTACTATTATCTTTCATTAGATCACTATTTATTTTTCATTCGTTGTTCAAAACTTATATTTAGATCAAAAATTTAGTCCAACTCTGTACTTATTAGAATGTTACTTTTACACATTCGGGAAACGTTCTGAGAATGTTGACACAGAACGTCCTAGGGACGTTCCACTTTGTAAATAGGACCTTCCTAGGACGTTTAAAGATCTTAACGAGGACCTAACGGGGACATATGGACCTTTTCGAGACATCCTCCGAATGTACAGAACGTCCGAAACGTACGTTCATCGGACGTACACAGGACGTTTTTGTGCTATTTGGGTCCTCGAACGTCGCAGAAGGGTTCCCCTACTCGGCTAATGCGCTATCGATTTCCATTTTCCAGGCCACGGCGGAGTTAACCAGCTCGGCGGCGTCTTCGTGAACGGAAGGCCCCTACCGGATGTAGTCAGGCAGAGGATCGTCGAGCTAGCGCACAGCGGCGTCCGACCGTGCGACATTTCCAGACAACTCAGGGTATCTCACGGCTGTGTATCCAAGATACTGTCGAGGTGAGTACCGACACCGTTCCGGCCGCGGCTCGCGTCCAGGGTCTCTTTCTACGTCGCGGTGTCCGTTACAACCGCAGCAGCCTCCCACGTCGGTGTCCCAGGCGATACGACGGCGACAGGAGCCTTGGTCCTGAGTTTTTCTTCGTCACCTCGTTTGGCGCTCGAACGATTCCCTCGATCGATTCGTTTGCTCTTTGCGAACTCTAACAAACGAAGCCGACGTTCCCAGGACATTGGTTCGTCGATAATCGGGATGAAAATCGTGGAAAGGAATCGGAATTCTAATCGGTGTTCTTGGTAGTGGGTAGAATTTGAGAATGCAAAGTCTGATCGAATATATAGGAAGTATAAGGTGTACAGATTAATTCGGGACCCCCACAATTAGGGATAAACCGATACTTTTACTCATAACTTGTATCGAAAATAGTATCGATATCTATTTAGTATCGATGCATACTTATATCGAAAGAAAATGCATACAAAGTTTTTATTAATATATTTTAACCAGAGTTTAGTAGAATTTTAAAAGAAACAGTATTCTTGCAGACAGAATAATAGTATATACGGAGTAAGACCACAAGTATTTATGGTATTTGCGATCGTCCAAAGCTCAACATAACAAAATATCAAGTACAGTTCAATCAATTTCTCATTTTACTTAGACTCCTATATAACCCTTAATAAAGGAAACAATTTTCACTTCATTTGTAACTTCTACAAACTGCTCCACAAAAATGTATATTCGCACATCATGCTGCTGTCATGGACGTTTACCCGTAGTCTGATATTTCACCTAACCCTGTAATCAACCACACAGCCACAAACACCTTACACCCGAAAGCCTAAAAGAAAAGAAAAAAAACGCCGACAATTACCCCCATTAGTCAAGCCAAAAGAACACAGTTGCGAAGACTTTCTTTTCCCAACATTCAAGCTCCCAGCTCGATCCTCCCGTATCCGTTGTTCTTCTCCAAACTCTCCTCCACCCCCGAGATCCCTCCAAGAAGAATCGTTCTAGCTCGGCGAGTACCTAAATCACCGATTCCGAGCGAAAATCCGTGACGCGGAAGCGCGAATGATTTACGGGTGGGGATCAAGCTTCGGGGCTTGCCAAACGGTAACACCGTAATTTCCGCGCGACGGAGTGCTCCAGAGGCCGCCGGTCCGGAGGATCCAGCCGGCAAGAAAAGAAGTGCACGCTGTCGAGGAGGGGCAGGAGGGGGTGGAAAAAAAAGCAGAAAGAGAACGCGGGGAACAAAAAGAGGAGACTATTCCTGGCCACGGGAGTGATTTAATTAAAGACGCTGTTAGGACCACGAGGCGAACGAATCTAGGGGGTGGAGGGGGTATGGAGGGGAGGGGACGAAACTGCGACGCCGGAAGGAAGGAACCACCCTTCTTCCTCCCACGGCGGGGGGGCGCCAGCGGGTGCGACGATATGCGGTTTCCATGTTTTTTCCAACCCTCCGCCCCGCGTTACATAACGGGTGGCCTCGTGCCGTTTTGATGGCCCGAATGTCATACGTCCCTGCGTACCGCTCGAATATCATTGTCGTACACTCTCATACGGCTCTCTTTCACATGCACGGCCCCGTTGGACTGTGTATAATAGGCGCGTTCCTCGATTATTTACTACCACATCGTTCCTCGAGTACCACCGCTACCCCATTATTCTTCACGGCTGTCCTTCCTGATCGTGAGAGATCGCGATTTTCGATACGTCTGCGATCTAGAATCGTACCGATGGTATCTGGGCATCGAGTTCCGTTGGTGATTTTAGGTCGAGGGGCTCGTAGATGAGAGACTTCCGGTCGGGGTTTCGAAGATCCTGGAATTTTTAACCCTGCTGTTCCCCTCGCTTATTCTTCGCGTTGGTATTCGCTTCGAATTAAATTATGTCAGACTTCGGAATGATTTGTTCTTAAGGAAGAAGGAATAGAGAAAAAGTAGACGTCAAGTTTAAGTACGTTGGGTACTACAAATAAATATTTGGTAACATAATACCTATTAAAGGATTATTAAGGAGGGAGATTAGTTAAATAAACATCTGTTGGAACATTCAGTTCAGTACTAGACATGGGAACGATGATGAATCATTCGAAGAATCTTTCAGTACTTAAATTTTGATTTCGAGCTTCGAAGAATGAAATTTTTTGGGCGTTCGCAGTATTTAGTACCAAAAATTACGACGTATGAAATGCATTTAGGAGAAATGGCCAGTTGAGCTGGGATTAATCCGTAAATCCACTGGGGGATTTTAATCAAATTCGACAGTCTAGCAATTCATAGCGACGCGATATTAGCAGCAATGTGTTATGAACAGAAATTAATAGGTATATTAACGTCCACCAGCATTTATTTTTGAATTGATTTACCGCCATGCCAGATCGATAACTTGAGCCGTGTGCACTCTCCGCGATCGGCACGGTTACTCTAGGTGTGAATCAAACGGAAAAAGAAACACGCTGCTTGTGTTCGTTTCGCAATTGATTTCCCAACGACTTATTCTAAAACAACGCCACGAACAAATTTGTCTAACCCAGATTTAGTAACTAATACTTTTTCTACGCGATCCTGATACTTCTCTTGCATACCTTCCAATGCTACGATACTTTTTCTTGGTATTGCGTCGGATCGAAATTTAGAAATTGCGGCTGTCGTCCACGAAATCTCCCGTTCTTTGACCCTGAGTATTCAGAAATAAAAAATCAGTTGGAAACAAATTTTACGCGGAAAATTCACATTTTATTGACCTCAGGTGTCGAAAATCGCGTGAAAGAAATTATTGTACTTGTACCACCCGAACTGTAAAACACAAAACAGGGGTGAATAATATTCCCACTTTATTTTTCAATAAATAAACTCCTTTGTCCGTGAAATGGTTCCATCGTTTAAATTTTCGTAAAACATACCATAAAAACTACTGCCACAGGAAAAACAGATTCAAATCTCAAAAGAACGAAATTCAAATGGTATCTACACTAATTGTTTAACATCCCCTTTCCTCGTGTAAACGACTCAAATGTTACGTCGGGGGGGTTCGAGAAGACTACTTAAACGCCCCGTAATTTCTCCGTATTTTTCGAATATGAACCCGATGATCCTGTCCATCGTCGAAATCTCAGAAACGAGTACATTGTCCCTATTGGATCTTTACAACCGTACGGAGCTTTACAGCCCGAAAAAGCGAAACTACGTTCGTGAAAACCGACGACGAGACGCTGTTAACGCTGCTGGTTTACGGAGTCACGCGTCGCTGGTACGTCGCGACGGAGCGGATCGGTGTTCTTCGCGGAATCGTGACGGCTCCTACGCCGTCTTGCTGCTCCTGAACGGCAACGGAAGCGGCTGGTTCCAGCGAGTTCGTAAACTCGCGAAAGACGGTGCTGAAAACCATGCCGCGACCCCTTCGAACGCGGCCCCGTTTGAACGAGAAAACCGATGGGGGACAGGTGGTGCCATTTTTAAGGGCATTTCGGAGGAAACCGTCGGAGAATCAGCCTTTGTGTCGACTTTGTTGCGTTCAGAATATCCCCGTCTACAGAGCCTAGATCGTTCTATTATTCAGTAAAATATTTCATGAAGTACAAGTGCGATTTGAGTAGATCGTTTTTATACAAATATTAGGTTGTTGCATGATACATATCGTTTTCCAATACTGTTCATTTCAGTCATTTTAAAATTGTTAAATATGGGATCAGAAAGATTGTGACTCGTTGGCAAGTGTGTGTCAATTCAAAGGATCCTGTTTCGATTAAAAATATTCGTTTTAAAATACGTTGTAATAGTTCAGACTCTGCAATGTAAAAACAAAATTTATTATTCAACGACTTGATATTTATTAGAAATAGAGAACGATGATGGACTCTAACGCGTTGAATATCGTGGAGGTGGCCAGTGATTGGCCCTCGACTTGCAAATGACATTATGAGGCTGATCAGCATAGGCTGATTTTAAAATTAATTAAAAGATTTGCATCAAATAAACGGTAACGATTGTACTTCTAATAATTTCTAGCCTTATAAATTTTGTCTCACTGCTATATTCCTCTTTAACTCTATCGAGTTAACATCTACCAAAAAATAGTTACACAGCTCTAACTTCCAAAGGAAAGTATGTATCTATAATTCGACGCTCGAAAATGAAAATAGCATCACGTGTCGCGATGACCCGTAACAAAAGTGATAAACACCAAGTACATTATTGGTAACACGATTCACGTGGAATGATTGCACAACTGGTGGGCCGGATTCCATGGTAGACCTCGTTTAAAATCGAAATTAATGCGACAAGGGTGAGCAATCCCGACGATTCGGGGTCAATTTCAAAAATCGCGCGTTCGTAATGGCCATTTCACGGTGGAACGTGGGGGCGGAACAAAGAGGGCGAAATATCCACGGGTGGGCACCGCCATGTGGACCGGGAATGGGGTTTTACGGCAGATATAATCGTAATAATTTCGACGCGGGGTGACACGAGCGACGCCTGTTTAACGGAACCCTTCTGCTTTTCGCTGCAGGTTCAATCGTTCGTTTCTTTTTTTTTTCTGCCCTTTGTCCGGGGAGAATATTGCCGAACGGGGAACGTTGTTCGATGTTTGTAACATGATTTAATGACACGATCCGTTAACACTACCGATTATTCGTTTTTCGGGCAACCTACGGAACACATTTACAGCTGCAGAATTTTGATGAAAATTTTAGAGTTGAAAGTGTAACGATGCCAGTTTCACCCTTCGTACTCGCAGGTGGAATTATAATCGATTATATTTCTAATATTTTATTATATGTTTCTAGAATATAACGCTTATTATTATCGTACCATAGATAAAGTGAAACTTTTGCACTTTATTATAGATTTTATCATATGGATTATATAATATACTTAACATTTCCTTAGTTCGATTTTAGCTTAGACCAAATTCAATGCAAGGAGTAATAACGCACAGTTTATTGAATATTGTACGAGGGTGAATACTAGAACTACCAACGCTGAATATATACTAAATTAAATTATATTTATAATATTTATATTAATAATATTTATATTTATACTACCTTATAATTTAAATAAGGAAGCATATCAGAATATACAGTGGAGGAAGGTACCAGTTAAATCGTCCTCCCCAGTTAGAAACTCAAAAAAAAAAATTAGTAAACCGATTCCAAAAGCATACATTTCTAAATCCACGCAGGCCTCTACCATCTATCCACACTCTCCCCTCCCCCTAAAAAAAAAGGCATAATAAACTACACCTACAGAATATCGCAGTTATACAACCAATATTGGAAATACGATTCCCGCGTATCCATCTCAGACTTCGGCTTCCGGTTCACGGCTGGTTCCAAAACCCGATACATACCATCGAAAGGAGATCTACCGTTCCCTGCACGGGGTGGTGGATCGTTTCGAACGGAATCAAAGGGAACGGGACGGACGCGAAAGAGAGCGAGAGAGAGGACACGGTAGCGATCGTTTTTCCCGCGGCGGGCGGCCAACGTCGGAATAACGAATCGCCGTCCAGCATCGCGTCAACGACCGGCTGTTTTAAAACAAACGGCTCTCTGGCCGTCCCCTTCCACTGCTGCCATCTACCCCTTCCTATTCACTCATTCTCACTCCGTCTCTCTCATTCTCACTATGTGGCGTCTCTGCCAGCCTCCCACCGGGCTCACGGTTATACGCTGCGCGCGCGATGGCCAATCGCGATTGGCCCGACGTGAACGCGCCCTTTGTGCCTAATTAGTTAAATAATATCTTCGCTCGTGCTTAAATTCAATTACGGCAGAAAGCCCGCAATAATGGTCCGGTTGTGGGCCGCCTTGATGGATGTGGGTCCGCCGCCACCGCCGGCGGCGTCGGCGTCGGTCCCCTCTCTCTCTCTCTCTTTTTCCCCCTCCCTCGCTCTATCTCTCTCTGGATATCTCGCCAATTTTGTACTGCGCGCTCAACGCCGTGACCGCTTTGCTGGCGGATTTTAAGTCACTTGCCCGAAACGATCCGACGCAACGGTATCGTTTCCTTTGAGTTTGGACATCGCGAGGCGCAACGGACTTTGGGTAGAAGCGTGAAGCGGTCTGCATGACGCTGATTGGAATGATAGAACTTCGTGAGTGGACATTGTTGACGCTGGTCACGATCTTCGGATGAAATGCTTCGGATGATTCTTGATTTGTGATAAAAAACATAGCATGTATGAGGTACACTTGTTTTCATCGAAGCCTTAATATTCATAATTATTGTAACATAACTCCTTCCTGCACTGGACCTCTTCAGTCGTTAGGTCTACCTAGGAAGATTATATCATTTCTTTTGGTAGTAAAAGATGATAAGGTGTACGATACATCCTGTCTAACTGTTTAGTTGACAAAATCGATGTGGAATGTTGGAGAGAAACTTGTACTATTGTTGAGGTAGCATTGACTTTTTAAAAAAAATTGGTAGTGTACTGAGGACTACTTGATAAAAGAAACTATGCGATGAAAATTAGCGAAGTGTTCGACAAAACAACGCTACTGATACAGTGGACTCTAACTATATTGCCACTAAACATATTGCCACGCGAGACACTTCCCCTTCACACGTATTTTAGAGCACACAAATTCGCTTTCCCTCCACGTTGTGTACGCCGGCGCACCAGCACGGTCCAAATTTTGCGCAGGCGCGGAGGCCGTGGTTATAACAGTAAAACTTAGCATGGAGGGGGCTCTGAGCTCATTGCCATTTTACTCCCCTACAGCCCCGACCATGGCAATATAGTTAGAGTCCACTGTATATAGAAATTTCGGTTCTACGATTTGTAATCATGGCAGAGTCTATCCAACTATCAGCTCGCCCCTTTCTGTCATCAGGTATTACGAGACCGGCAGCTTCAAGGCTGGTGTCATAGGCGGTTCCAAGCCGAAAGTGGCTACGCCACCGGTCGTCGAGGCGATCGCAAATTACAAGAGGGACAATCCGACAATGTTCGCTTGGGAGATCAGGGACAGGCTGCTAGCCGAAGGCATTTGTTCTCAAGACAACGTGCCATCCGTCTCATCCATCAATCGGTAAGTCGAACACATTATTATAACCAGTAACCGTTCATTCTCGCACCAATGGTCGCTAACTTAACCCTTGATCGGACATATGAGAATCTTATGTGCAATTAGTCATCCGAGGTTTAAACTTAGAGTTACTTCTCTGGAAAAATCCATTCTAAGAACGCACACAAGGTTGCACCAGTTCAATCCCCAATGTTCCCTATCAATCATCACGCCTCGTAGGCGTCCGGTTTAATCGTCAGGATCGAACACGAAGAAATCTATCGTCGGGAACGATCGAGAAAATGAAGTGCTCGTGGCATATGCTCTCCGGGCGATCGCCAATGGGACCGATTAGTTATCTAACACCGATTCTGAAGGGGGTGTACGAGGACGCACCCCCTTCGAGCTTGCATCTAGATAAGTGCACACCCGGCCCGACACCCCCGATCCTATTGACCTTTCGCAGGTTCCTTCGGGAATGGGCCGATTAATTCAAGTGTTTTTACGTCGCCCGACGGATCCGAGCCGATAGGGGGTTGTTCGAACAGGGCCTGGAACACTAGTACTACGCACGGTAAAGGGATGCTCCTGCGAAACAGGGAGCTCTCGACGGTCCCATGAGACAGGCATTACAGCGTATCAGCACCGCACAAACTGAACGAGTGGATCATCCCCCATTCGTGAAGCGACAGAAAAGCCAGCCAGACCGGGAGAAAGAGCATTCGCAAGGAGACAGAAGGGAGAGAGAGAAAGAGGGAACGAATACCCATTGATCGACACACATATGTCCCGAGATTTAATCAGTCGCTACTTAAGACCTTATCTCCCATTCTATCCAAACGTTCCCCTGTACGCACCTACTTCATAAGCTCCTACCAGCTCTCTATCTCGACCTCCCTGCTAGCCGCAGGCCTGATAATGTAATCGAGCGTAATGCGAATCGAATTGGGATACGAGTGAAATCCACTAACGCGATTTCCGTCGGCCACGGGCGTTAATGGAAAAGCACGCAAATTAGTTGGGCCAAGCGCGCACACGCCCCGCCGGAAGTGTTATGTACAATGCGAGGATTTAAGGCTCCGGGCTGAGCCTTGATTGCTCGGTACCCAGGAAGTTGTATTTGAAACTCCACCACTTTTTCTGTGAGTCTGGTGATTCTTGCTTGATGTTTGATCCTTCTGTATTTTGTTTTAAATTATTGTACATTATACAAATCGTTTTATTAGATCCTTTGGTCCTGGATGACTATTCAGAGAGTTGAGGCTTTCATGGCTTGGTTACGGGAAAGTCAGTGGCCCTAAATTCTTACGCCGTAATCTACACGGTTAATTATTTTGCTCAACCCCAAGTTTCTCCGTCAAAATGGGTTCCGAAGACACCAACTTGCTCGTATTTCCGGTGTTTCGAGGCTAGGAAGAAGACGCGATCGGCGCGTCGTCACAGCCACAGCAGCGTGAAACGTGGGCGTATGTAGCTACAGGAATCGCTTTCTGGCCGAGGTTTTCGATGTGTCTAGGATTGCAGCGAGGGACGCGGGGGGCGGTGGCTTGTTGCTCGAGTGACTCCTCCACCTTCAACCGCTTCTCCCTCTCGCTTTCCCTCGTGCACCTTCTCCGTTTTCCTCCTCGCCCGTGTATCCCCCTCCGACCCGAGGGCCCAGATGGCGGGTATTGATCTGAATCCGGAGAACAGATCGCCTGGAAAAACTTACCCCGCGGATACTTACCTACTCCACCTCCCGCTATCTACATGCCCACCTTCGTCCAACCTAGCCTCACCGGCTCACGTACAAACCGTACCCGCAACCTTCCGGCCCCGTCCGCGTGTAGGTAAATGTATTTCCGCTCGGCGAGCAATGGATAGAATACCCCCGGGCGATCCTCCGACGTCTGAAAAGCACACGCTACACGGAGGAACGTGTGCTGCTGAGGCACTTTAAGTGATTGTTCACGCCGATTGATCGCGGGAAGATCGACCCGTCAATAGATCACGATTTTCTTTGATATCTAACGGTCTTAGTTCTTTACTTAGAGCATCAGATATTCGACTTTGTTCTATTTGGATATCTGACAGAAATTGTCATGAAGAAATTGTCTTACGTTTCTGTGCAAGTTCAGTTTGAAAAATCGGTTCAAATTTTCGAACGAGTCAAATCTAACGGTCTTAGTTCCCATTTAGAGCATCACCAGTTCCACCATTGTTCCATTTGGATATCTGACAGGTGCTATTAGAAGGACTTACATGAAGCAATTACCCTACATCTCGATGTAAGTTCGTCTTGAAAGATCGGTTCCAATTTTCGAGCGATTCCGGACGATGCGACGAAATTCACAAAACGGAAGAGGTGCACGCTTGAAAATAAAAGAATTTGAAATCATCCAACGAGGTAGACGCGTGGTCGACGTCGAAACGACGTCGGGATATCGAGCCAGATTTCTCTCTGCGGTAACAGGAACTGGGATTATCAGCCAGGCCATGCGGCGGCGGCGATGGCGGCCATGCCGGGATTTCTCCCGTTATGAGCGTGTCTCTGTTTTTCTAGCTTCGAGCTAGCTTTCGTACGGAGAAATAATGATACCGCTAATATAATGTATTGTCCTGCTTCGCTGGGGCACTTCGGAATGGGACCGTCCGCGAGACCATAAGACAGAGGAGGGAGAATGGGAACGGTAGCCGGTAAAAAACCGGGGCGAGGAGGGCGAAGTAATGGAGTGGCTTTCGCGAAAAATAACAGTTATATATATCCTGTGCACGAGGCGGGATCGAGGAGGAGAGAGCGGAAAAACAAGGGAAAAACGGGGGTAAGATTGGACGCTAACTGGTCGGTGGTTGTTTCTGCTTTCGGGCACCCCTTTCCTCGTTCTTGCATTCTTTATCGGCCGTGAACGCGTCAAGCTCGTGTTCTGGTTCATTCCTTCTTCAATACGCAACTGTATACTTAATACACATCGAAAGTTTCGCAGAAAAATGACGAAACTTCGTTACACCATTTCATTCCTTGGCGAGTATTATCCACCCCAGAATTTCTGAACCCTTTTTTCTGTTTCACCCTGTATATGTTGTATCTTGTTACTTTAAAGTCGAAGATATTGATATTAAACAGACCTATTTTTATCAATGCTTTATTTTTAGATAGAATACCTAAATTTCTCAACTGAAAACGTGGAGATCTACTTCACATCAGTAAAACTACAGATCCCTTGCTAACAATAGTTAGATATTAACCAGCGACAGAATTTAACGAACTGTTAAAACGAGCATGCACCGATGAAACACTGGGCGTTGAAGGGTTAACCCTTGAGAATTCAAGAAATTCTCAAATCTGTAAGAAAACATCACCGTATTGCAAATCTGTCATTGCAATATCGCCATGAAATGTATAGTTCAGTAGTTCCTAATGTTCATAGACATGGACAAATCGCGCTAGCACCCTTAGAAAATTGCCAATTAGCAAACCGAGACAGAGGAAAGATTCTTCGTCGCCGAAGATGTAAGACGAAGGCTGAAAGAGGCTAGAATGGTGGAAAAATAAGAGAAGAGAAATTGCGGATGGTACCGCGGCGGATTTCGGGAGGAAATATTGATAGGCTCGAGGTTCGGCTGCGGAGTCACGCTCGAGTAGCCGGCTCTCAGCCGAGGTCTATCTTGCACATACACACAAACACCAGAGCCTCTCTACTCTCTCCCTCTCTCCCTCTCTCTCTCTGCGTCCCATAGAATAGCGGGAGGTCTTTCCTCGTCGTTCCTTCTTGGTCGCACAAGTCTCAGGGGCAGATCGATAAGGAGCCGAGGTTCTCGCCCGAGGGCTTTACGCCGGGTTCACAGCCTCCTTCTCGTTTCCACGAGACGCAGCCCCGACCGACGACGTAACGGTCTCTCGCGTGTGCCTGGCCGTTTTCTTGCCCTTTCTTGCGGCTTCGATCAAGTCGATACCAAGGAATGACTCCCTCTCTCTCCGACTTCCTGTATCGTTCCGTTGGTAAATCCTCGACAAGCGAAGTAAAGATAGATTTCTGACTTTCCATGAAGAGTCAAATAAGGGTACGTAGATTTCCGACTTTGCATGAAGAGTCGAGCAAAAACACATGACGTCTTCGAGAGATACATTTCTGACTTTCCATGAAGAATCGATCTAGGTTATAGGACAGCTCCATCATAGCTTAATCGGCCCATCGTCTCCCTCTATTGTCCTCGCGCGATCTGCTTCGACGCCCGATTCATCCGTTCTGTCCCTCCATCCCCGTGAGTTTAATTCGACGTAATGACCAACGAAGGCAACAACAGTTGGTAGGAAATCTGTCGCGGCCGAATCTCGATGGAATTGTATCAATCTGTCATCACGCTCGCTTTCTCTCTCTCTCTCTCTCTGTCCCGATGAACATTGACGATGGGCCGGTTCGCGATCTGGCTCTTCTTGGTCGTCGGGGTATCGCGCGGGTCAATCTCCCGTGGAGGCACAACGGGGTCTAGTCTCTCTTTCTCTTTCTCACTTTTACTATATTACTTCCATATCATTTCGCACCCCCGGAACCTCCGAGAGCAGCGCGCGAGCAGCAGCCGAGAGCCATATGGCCGGCCCCGTTCACCGGCTACCGAGGGAACCAGGGGCTGGCCAATAAGATGGCTGCTACTTTCATGCCACTTTCGGCTTTCCGCTCGACGTCACTGCCTATCTCTCCCTGTTCATCTCTCCCGGTTATTAAATTACATCCCCATAAATAACGCCTGCCTGCCTACCGACTCGCTTATTTACCATTCCATCGACTCCGCGGGAGGAGAACCCCTCCTTCTACTCCGGGGCGGCTGACGAATCGGTATTCGTTGCGTGGCTCCTTCGCGATCGAGGGGATGAGGAGGGACCACCTTCTCGTGGCCCCTTTTTCTTTGCTCGCCGCGGGTATATATTTTATGGATAACGACGCGCGCGCCTCTGTACCGTGGAAATGTTTCCTCCTAGTATTCTTGCGGGTAAAATGTCTTGCTGGTAGACTATTTCTGCTTGCTGTTCGGTAAATTAAACGTCG